CACAACACCGTCGGAGCCGAGCTTGCGAGGCGGAGGCGGTGTTGTGGCGTAGCTGTTCTTTACCCGGGTGATCTGACAGAAATGCTGACAAAGGTTTCTCCTATTCGGGACACAGTTCGTAGCTTAAATGGCCTGTAGCCAGTCCCCGCACGAGGATCCGATTTTCCTGGCTTGTGATTGGTTAACCTTAAATGCAAAACAGTGCGAGTGCGGCGGGTGTTGGGGGGGGGGGGGGTTGTGGGTCGCTGTGGGTGCCCTCCGCAGGAGAAAAGGCGCTCCGCAGGAGCCCCCCGGAGGGCCGCCGGAGGCAAAAGGGGGGTCCCAGGGGGTCTCCCTGGAAATTACCGGATATACAATAAAAATCGGTAAAAATAAATAAGTAAATAAGTAAATAAGTAAATAAATAAATAAATAAATAAATAAATAAATAAATAAATAAATAAATAAATAAATAAATAAATAAATAAATAAATAAATAAATAAATAAATAAATAAATAAATAAATAAATAAATAAATAAATAAATAAATAAATAAATAAATAAATAAATAAATAAATAAATAAATAAATAAATAAATAAATAAATAAATAAATAAGTAAATAAATAAGTAAATAAAATTAAAAAGAACAGTTACGCTTTTAGGCTTCGCTAGTTACGCTTTTAGGCTTCGCTAACGCCTTTACTGTTTTTTTTGTGTTATTCGAGGAACGAGTTAAAACACTAAAAAAAAACAGTATTACTCTATTCTTTTGCCTTAAACGCTTAAAATTAAAATCAGGGCAATTTGACGAAGGTGCCCCCGAAGGGCCGTGCACCGGCGTCAAATTAGCGGAGCGGCTCCTGATTTTATAGCTTACTCTGAGGCTGTGCGGTGCACAATGTGTACCGTTCTCTCGGATTCGCTCCCGGTACCGCTAATGTCGACGAAGCAGCCGCACAGCTGTTTGGGAGTGAACTTTGCCATCCGTGTGTACGCATCCCGCTCGGGTCCAGCCTGGGTACTGATCATAAAGCGTGCCTGGATTTCCCTCCAGGCAAGCGGGCGGCTGGCACAAGACACCCATGAGAGAAGCTGTTTTGCCATAACAAGCTTGCGGGATTCTTTTGGGCGAGCAGGTAAAGATGGATTTGGATGGCGATCGAGGACTTGGACAGCAATGCGGTCGTATCTTTGAGATAATGTCAGCTTACGGAGGGAAAATACCTATTGTGTCTTACTTTTAGGGACCGGAAAGCGATTTGACTTACGCGTCTCCGAGCTGGGAGGGGAACACTTCATCTTGCAACTCCTCCAAAAGGTCCTCCAGGGTGGGCAGAGCAATCAGATATTGCAAAACAACGTGGGCGAAAAGGAACATTCCTGCCGCGGAGGGATTTTGCAAAGTTAGCCGCGAGTCCAGGCAAGTGGAAGCCCAGTCAAGACGAGATACCTTCTGCTCTCGATGTGATTTTGTCAAGGATAATCTCCCTCGTATCATGACTGGCTTTGAAGCTGGTTCGTATCGCCTCGGCTTGCTCTTCCGTGTAAAGCCTGATACAGATTGCGTGGCCATCCACGGCATCGACTCGCACAGACGAGGTTTGTGGGAGTGTGGCTATCGTCCTCTCGAGATAGTCCTCCCGCCTGCCTGAAAGGAGGATTCGTAGTGTGAAAGGCGACTCCCCAGGGGTGCACGTCAGCTTCCTGAGCCAGTCTAGAAGCATCTCCCGATCAGCGGTCTCACACTCGTCCAGTCCGTCGAGAATGAGGAAGCAGAACCGCCTTGAACGAAGCGCTGTCGACGCCAGTTCGGCCAATTGATTTTTGGAAGGGGTGTTGACGGTAGAGAGGATTTGGAAGGCATGATCCAGAAGGGTTTGGCTAGAGTCCCCCTTGACAAGCTGTTCGATCAAGGCCCGCAGAGCTGCTGTGCATGTCGTTCCCACCTTGCTCTGAGTGTCGTTCTTGAAAAAGAAGTAAGCTAACGGGATTCCCTCGGTGGGTTTGCCCTTCAACTCTTGCAGATGCCGAATAACATTGGATACGAGGAATGTTTTGCCTAGGGTATAAACGTTAATCGCAGAAGGAGACTGGGAAAGACATCATCAAACAGGCTTACCCGCCCCAGGGCAGCCGTTCAGATCCAAGACCCGATGGGTCTCGTCGTCAACATCGACCCAACGAATGAATGCCTCGTGCCGGAACAGCCAGTCGCCCCGTGCGGACTCGTGCGTGCGCCGCTGGAGGTCTTCCTGGTCATCGAGATACTGTGGAGCGGCTAGTTTGTTGACTATTTCCTGCAAGTGGACTCGGCGGCGCTCCTTTGATGCTTCGTCCTCTCTGCAAGCAGCTACTTGGCTCTCCTGCGTGAGCTGGTAGCGAAGAGCTTGGATCTCGCGCACTGATGCAGTCGCCTTTGCTTCGTCCAAGAGCTTCCGGATTCGTAGAAGGGTTTCTTTGATCTCGTCGGCCATTTTCGAAAATCGGCGCCAGGACGAGTCGAACACGCTCCGCCATGCTGCAATAAACTCCATGGTCAACGTGATGCCGGAGCCAGATATTAATCAGGGGCTGACCAATGCCTACCAGATCTGTTGAATACCTCCATGAGGCCGGTATGGAACTTGAGAATGACTTCCTGATAGTGATCTACTATGAGGATCACATCCGGGTGACTAACGAAGAGCTTGTGGTACTCGTTCAACTGCGGGAAAATGTCGCCGATCTGTCCAAGGATATCGACAAGCTTGTCCAGACAGTGACCTTGAGTACCAGTCGCGCGACTAGCCTAATGATATCACAATCTGTCAGTTGCGACACAAAAACAAGCTGCGGCTAACTCCATAGGGAGTGAGGGGCAAGCTTACCTGCTCAAGAGCATGGCGAAGGGGAGCCTGTTGATCGCGGATAGGTCAGCCAAGGGGCCATCAGTAGTGGCCGGTGGGGGTTCGACGTACCCAGAGGAAGCTGGATGGGCCATTGACGCTGACAAAATCACCACCGGCAATGGCGAGCTGTCCAAGCAGATCGACGAACTTGGAGAGACGCTGTAGGTTTGGCAGTCTCCGCTTGGCCCCAAGCCTGTCCTGGATGGACCTGATTGCAGCCTCAACATCTTCCCTGCCGCACGCCTGAAAGCTTGCCCTCTGGTCTTTCGTCAAGTTTTGCTTCAGATCCTCGAGGGCCTTTTCCAATTTCGAATTTGTTCGTCTCGACGCCCCCGGCGTGGCTTCCGTAGCGGTTGCTGGGCCGGACATCGTCACCGGCGGCGGGGAGGCATTGACCATCGGGGCAGCCCTGGCCGCTGAGCCAGGGCTGCTCATGCTGGAATTGACGGACTTCCTCAAGCAGTCAGGTGCGCAAGGAACGGCTGCTCGGCGTGTTGCATCTTTGCGCGGCGGTACGGGCAGAGAGCACAGCCGTTCGTGACAAGCGGCAAGGTGGAAAGGGGGGGAGATGGGCATGGAGGAAGTGAGAAGTCAAATTCGAGTGCCCGAATACAAGCCGCGCCGCTTTGCGTGCCAAGCTGCCTTGCGGAATGCCTGCCAGGCCGTTAGGCAGCCAGGCAGACAGGCAGGCTGGGCTGAGCATGCTGTGTAAACCCGAGTCCGCCACCTGATAGGTCCATATCACCACTCGAGGTGCAGGCGCCCGGCCAATGTCGGCCTCTTGAATTGGGCGCCAGTCCCAATCAGTGGTAAAAAAAGCCCTCGAACTGGGGCGAAGGGGACTCGCCCTGCTGTGCGTCGGTGCAGCGGGGGGCTTGCGGTCCTGAGTGCCCATTCTCCGCTTTCCGGGTCCCCGAGGTCGAGCCTGTCCTGGCTTGGCAGCGAACACGGCGGGTGTGCCAGCCTTACCATGTAGGCGGAAATCCTTCGTAGCAATCGAGCGCGGCGCTGAGGGAGCCCTTCAGCGCGTCCATAACTTGGGCCATAACTTGCGGGACAGGCATCTTTCTGTAGGTATTATTGTACTTGCTTCTCGACACGACGGCAGCAAATTATCCTTTCCTTGCATGGTAGATGGGTAGTTATCTAGTTCGAGCGCCGGCGAGTCCCCTTACATAGTGATCCTATCGTCCTTTCCCTGTCTTTTTTCTCCCATGTTTTCTACAAGGACAAATATCTAGTTATAGATGGGTATGAACAATAGCAGGCAGTAAGCAGAGCGTCCGTCTAGGAGTAGGTGCTCGTCAACGCAACCGACAGAGTTTCGCGGAGCTGCTCCCTCCGCAAACTTATTCTGTCGGCCCAGGGCACCTCGTCGTCCACATACGGCAGCGCCTGCCACGGCGCGAGGCAGCGGTGCCCACCATCCAGGCTCCGACTAGACAGGGCGGCAAGCACGGCGCCCATCCCTTCCACCCGCGTCAGCCACTGCCTCTTCCTGATCTTATCCCGCACGTCCTCCTGCCTTGAAAAGTCCAGCAGCTGCGCGGCAATCGCCCCCGCGACCACTGCCGAGTAGCTCGTCCCGGACAGCAGTCCCGGCACGTGGGGCAGGCATATGTCCTCGCCGAGGGTCGCGAAGCTGTTCCCGGGCTTGCCGGGGTCGGGCGCAATGGGGTTGAAATCGACCAGCGTCCTGCCCCCCGGCGTGGTGGCGAATATGCAAAACAGGTTGCCCGCGGAGTGCAGGTTTGCGGGAAACGTCACGGGCTTGAGGCCCCCGTGGTTGGAAGCTGCGGCGAACACCAGGACACCCTTATCGCCGGTGCGACAGATGGCGTCTCGTATGCAGTCGTGCTCTTGATAGAAGCCCGAGGGGATTACGATGACATCGACACCCCAGGCTGCATATGCGTAATCGATGGCCTGGGCCATGCGACCCGGGGTGTCGTCGGTGTATTCGCCGCCTTTATCCCAGACGCGGGCGACGTAAACTTCGGCCGCGGCGTAGGCGAACTTGAGAAGGCGGCAAGCATTTGTGCCGTGGTTGTCGCTTCCTCGTTTACTATCCTGGCACGAGCCGTGCTTGCCATCGACAAAATCACGGTACCCCTTGACGAAGTCAGTGCCCTGCAAGGTGGGACAGACTCCAGTATCGATGATAGCAACCCTGGACGGAGGAGTCGATTTGTCTCTCTTTTCGTCTTTTATCCTCAGGGCCTCATTGAAAGCCCTGAGGTGTTCGAACCACTCGCTCGACGAGAATTTACCTCCGTTTGGTATCGCTGCTAGATCAGACCTGGCGTTTTCGCGCCTGCATCCGTTCTTCGGGATTGTGCACAGCTGCTGACTGATTGTTGGATAGAGTAAGTTCGAGTGCAGATTCTAGTGGCGACGTTGGCATGCATCAGCTCGGGTTTAAAGACCTACAGGGAAGGTAGGACGGCGGGGAGTGGAGGGTCCTCGGGGCTTGGTTGCTCGTTCTTTTCGGGTTGTGTCAAATGCTGGGAGGAGGCCTCTGTGAACCTTAGTTCCTCCTTCCGTATGGCCCTCATGCGAGGCGACTTGGCGTAAGTGCCTTCCCACAGAAGCTGGAGCGGAGCCACGACCTTTTGGTACACAGCATCTCTGTGGGCCACCCTGCGATCTTCCAAAATCCGCCACTGCGCCGGCTTCAGGCACATCTCGATCGCGGACTTGAGCGCGTCAAAGGTATCTTGATTTGACCAGCGCTCCTCATCTTGGAATAGTTTCAAAGCCGCAAGGTGATCCGCGTTTGGTAGCGGAACACCAGAAGAGGGATCGAGCCATTCGGGCTCGAAGTAATCCTCAATGTGGACCCCGAGTTCCACCTCCATCATCATGATACCAAGAGCAAGTAGCTTCGGGAATTCGTGAGATAAAGCCTCACGGCGGTAGGCATTGCCGGGGGTTGCCTTGGCGAAACGGACCAGGAGCATAGGATCATCCACGTAGATGCCATCGGCACCTGCGGTAAAGGGCCGCTGCAACATGAAATGGACGACCTCCTTAGTCCAGGCCGGCTCCATCCAGTCGGAGTCATAGAACTTCCATACAGCTTTAGCCAACTCGTAGCAAAGACGCAGCCTCGGCTTTGCTGTCAGCGGGGGAGAAATGGACAGCACTTTCGCCAATGGCAGACTTGGTGACCGTGACGAGTACACCCGCTTCGGCTCCCTGGAGCCACGTGGGACCAGAGATCCGTCCTCCACCTCGAGCTGAAGCCGGCCAAGAGCTCGGTGTGAAATGAGGCCACAGAATTCGGAATACGACGAAAGTTGATCCTTCCAGCTTCTGCAACCGTTAGCCGCTCTGGCTCTTGTTTCGAGAGGCACCTGAATGATGGTGTCTTTCCACAGGCAAGCGTCCGGTGCCTGGTCCTGGTGCGGATGGCCCAGAAACAGCAGACCAAACATGGCCGCACCATCGTCGCTCTCCGCCGTGCCGTCATCGTTGTTTAGCCTCAAAGTTGCTGAGATCCCTATCTTAGTTTCGTTTTGAGCGCAGACGCAATGTCGTGATAAGACAGAGTAGAGTCGTTTGATGTGCGCTTGGTAGTCGTAGTCGTTCCATCCGACTTTGCATTTTCCGTCTCCAAGATCGGGGTCCGCTGGCTCCTCAATCTGGGCCACGCTCTCCAAAGTTTTGTAGAGTGTAGCCTGGCTTTTTCTGTTGATAGGGCGTGAGAGATCTCGAATGCTCCGTTCGACGGCATGTTTGGCGTCGAGGCTGCCCTCACACAAGCTCTGGAGGCCCTGGTACGAGTCAAGTTCGAGGGCGCGGGGGTGGGGCCATTTATCCCAAGGCCAGTGCCGCTGTGGGGTGAAGCCGCCGTGGGCCACACGCACGTTGCTTGTCAGTGGAACCGTTGTAGCTTAACTTAACCGCATGGAGATAGATATGGGTATGCGCACTCGAACGAGACCATCCAGCAGATGGAGCAGCTTGGGAAGCACAGCTTGGAGCTGGCGATCGGCCGATGCCGAGGGTGCCTGGAGTCGTTTGTGCGCGGGGCCCAGGACACCTTGGAGAGAAACACACCAAGCCTTCAAGCCTTTCTGCTTGGAAAGCTCCTGGACCTGTGTCTGGATCTTAGCTACTGCGTCGACAGCAAAGGCGGTAGCTTCGTAGCTAGAATTAGCCATGGCTGGCGTTTGATCGCTGCCAGTGTCTCTGTATGTTTTGAAGGAAAGGAATGTCCATCGTCAAAAATTGCTGTGTCCGAGTGGAAAGGGAATAATCCATGCTGAGTTTCGTGCGAGGCTCGGCCCCCGACAGGCACAACCAATCAAGCCCATTTTTCCATGCCTACATGTAACTCCTCTGGCCGACAATTGTAATGGCATTGCATGTGGCGCTAACCTCAGATCGCCGGGGTTTGGTGGGATCACTCGGAGGAGCGGGGTAAATTGCCAGGCAGCCAATCTCCCACTCATTCCCAAATGACGAGGGGCGTGTCGCCGTCGTCGCCGCCACCACCGTCAAGCCAAGACAGCTGAACCTTTCCCAGCCCCTCTTCGGCCAGCTTTTCCAGCATTTCCTCCTGTGTTTCCTCGTGGCCGCCGATTCCGAATTGCGAGCCTTTGGTGTATGACTTGGACCGCCACTTCCTGTCAAAAACCCCCTTGGTGATTTTTTCCAGCTTGATAGCCCACACGAATGGATCATCTTGCCGGTAGCCCAAGTCCTGCCCATCCAAGGATGTGTGTTGTAAATCGATATTTCCACCGACGCCACCCAGTTCCGGTATTTCGCTATTGCGACCACTCTTTAATTAGCTGCGTTGCTTGGATCTTGTATCAAACGCCAAACGCGGTAGAGGGGGGGTGGCTGGACGTTGGTTCTTTCGTACACTTGAGGCGTTCCCTGGACGCCGAACTCCTTGTTTTTGGAAGATTCCTTGTTCGCTCCACGGGCGACCATAATCCCTGTAACCATGAACATGGACCACACCCCAACCGGGGACTTGTGGTCTTCGATGTATTTAGCGACCGCTGGCGTTTCCAGCGAATCCTGGAGATAGGAGGATGACAGCTGCAGCTCGAAGGTTTCCAGGCAGTCAAATCTCCAGTGGTTGGATATAGAGTTTTGGAATTGGATGGCAACCTCAGCCCCGACGCCCTCGAGTGGCGTTACTGCTTTGGCAGATACCGAGGTGTAGTTGCTGTTGGTTTGCTTCCATTTGAAATCCCACCTTTTCACCTGCCACAGCGGCGCGTCCGTGGGATATTTTGTAGGCCCCGGGTGGCTGTTGATCACGAAATTGAGCCTTTTGAGATCCGGAACCAGGTTCCCAGGGCAGCATGGGCCCCTGGCCTGCCCTACTCCCTCCGGCGGCAAGGTCGGAGCAGGGAAGGGCGATTTGAGAACGAACCAGCACTTTCCTAACATTCTTGGTCGAGGGGACTAACGGAAGCGTGCGAGCGGGAAGAAAATCGGGAAGAAAAGGCTGAAAGCAGTCAGGTTTCGCTATCGAGCCATGGGTAGGTATTGATTGTGCCCAGCCAATGGACATTCCCTTGTCGCTCCTACCACCTGACTGGACAGGAAGATGAGGGGCAAGGAACCTCCATGGTTGGGACATGCTCCCGACAAGCTCATTAGGATGGGTGGGATTGCAGCATTAGGTGTATATTGACAGTAGCATTTGGCCCAGCCCCCATTTCGCAAGCTTCATCCGTCGCTGCTGTCAACCCAACCTTTCGACAACGGGTCGGGATGGCACAAACCCTCGACGTTGCGGCGGCAGAGGGCACCATCTGCAAACTCACCAAAACCTGTCAGGACCTTTTCGAGGAATGCATGCAGACGGACCGACTGAGCACCTCCGGGTGGCTGGAGAAACGACAGGGCATGTTCAACCTCTGGTCGTTTGCGCTCAAGGCCTCCGAGGCGGGGAAGCAGTCTCTTGACTACCGTGTGATGTCGAGGCCCGATGTCGCAGAGGCCATCAAGGATCACATCGAGGGGCTGATCGAAGCTCTCGAGCAATGTAAAGAGATTGCGAGTATGGCGGAGGGTACGACGGACTGCGCCATGTATTCCCCACGAAGCACAAGCCCACCAACCTTATCGAAAGAAACTAACGACATACCGCGCAGGAGAGCTCGATTCCCGTCCAAGCCATGAACAAGCTGGCTCCTTCTACGCTCTCGATCAGTCTGAGGGCTCGAGAGACGGCCAATCACCCTTCTGGAGCGAGGAAGGAGGGGATGGCGATGATGGGGATGGCGATGATGGGGATGGCGATGATGGGGACGACGACTGGCGAGATCCATTCTTTCAGCCAAAGTTCTACATCACTTCAATAGTGGACCAGCTCCGGAGAATATCAACTGCAATTCGGAAATCTGGAGCTAAATACCGATACGAAAGGGCCGATCAAGAGTTCAATGAGGAAGTTTACCAAGAGCTACGCAACTCTATGGTTATCGCTATTCGGACACAGCAGTTGTGGCTCCCAAAATTCGCGAAGACGGAGGCAGAGAGATATTCTTCAGCAGCAAAATGCGGCTCAATGTCAGAATGGGAGACAAGGAGTAACTTTGAGCTAGGGGACAAAGTCGAATCTCAGCCCCAGCCGCAAATCCATTTGAAGCCTGGGGCAGGTGTCGAGGCGCCGCGAGGAAGGCAGCTCCAAGATACCTGGAGCCTCACACCAATCCAGGAGCGTCTCGTTCGGGCCAACATACTTCGCCACCACCGGATCATCTTCTTTGCCGAACCCGCAAGGAAGAAGGCCACGTTGCTTGCCAGCAGGGATCGGTGCGAAGAGCAGGAGCCCGAGAGGAAGAAAGCCAAATTGGGCGAGGACAGCGGCTACAACCAGGCCAGCGCCTCTGTGGCTAGGCTAGGTGGCGAGAGTGCGTCGACGCCCTCAGAATCCCGAAAGCCAATCTCAGAAGAGGAAAGACCACCTAGAGGCCAAGCAGGCCTATCTCAAGTCCCAGCAACTATGACGAATGCATCAGACCTCGATATTAAGGGAGTGACCAGGCCTAAATGGTCGCCCTCACATGTGACGCTCGGAACCGCAATACAGGAGACACAGTACTACCCTCGGTGCCCCAAAGCTCTGCCGGATGGCCCGGCAAAGGGGATGATACAGTGTCCTTATTGTACCGAAATCCTACCTGGAGAATATGGGAAAGAGGACAGGCACTGGAGGTGAGCGGAGATCGGCCGACAATCAAGGAAGGACCGCACAAGCTAATCGCAAGCCTCGCGCTTTTTTCTACCAGGAGCCATGTGGCCAACGACCTCATACCGTACACGTGCGTGTTCGAGGACTGCGACACGCCGGACGATATGTACGCGTCCACGTTTGAGCTTACGCGACATACGATCAAGGCGCACGGCGCCCCCTACTGGATATGCGGGCGCTGTCCGGCCGGGTCGACCGATAGGATCATGGGTAGCCCATCGAAGTGGGTCGCTCACATGAGGAGAGAGCACCCCGGCGGCTTCCGAGAAGCCGAGCTGCCTCTGCTCCGCGACGCCAGCCGCCAAACCTTAATCCCCCCTGTTGATTGCCCACTGTGCCGCGTCTCCCAGGACTTGCCGTCTGAGACCCTGGACGAGCATATAGCCAAGCATTTGCATGCCTTCGCCCTCTTCTCCCTTCCCTGGGGCAGCAAGGAGGCGGCCGAGTCCGACTTGGATATAGATGCTGATATATGGCCCACCCTCGCGACGGATAGGAGCCTAGGGAAGCACAAAGTCCTCGACAAGGCAGCAATTCATATGTGGCTAAATGAGACAGAGATTCAAAGTCCTGTTCGCTACTTGTATTTATTGCATGCAAAAGAGATGGCACGGTGTGAGGCTATTCCGGTTGATTTGCTCTAAGGAGGAAAAGGATCTCAAGTGCAGGGCCCCGTAGGGGTTCCTGCCCTTTATATATACGTGATGCCCCGTCCTCCTTGCTTATTAAGCTTCCTTTTCGAAGCCTGGAAGCGTTATAAGCTTTCAGGCAAAGGGACCGCTCTTCCGGTGCCTTAGGCCGTCGATACCTGTGCCTGAGGATTCCTACGACATCGAGGCCGGCAACGCTTATAACCCTAGAGAGGGCGACTTTAACTCCATAGAGGAGGGTATGCATTGGAACATCGAGGACGCACACGTTTCTAAACAAAGAACGCATTCTGATCATACCGAAGTGGGGCTTATGAATGAGAAGGGCGCAGGCCAGGACTGCTCTCCAGAACACAAGACTTCCAGGGCGTCCAGGTAAAGGGGCCGGCAAACAGGGCTAGCGACATCCTCGGCGCGCACCAGGTCCAGGGTTTATGTTGAGCGGTGCGGTAACGATGCCCTCAAGCTGGCTTCAAAGGTTGTCAGCCTCGAAAGTCGGCCTCATCGAGCGAGCAGATTCGGGCGTGACGAGCCATTGCGTGACACTGCGTCTCCCCGGCCCGGCAGCAAATTAAATAAATTGGTGAAGAGCTTTCACCGGTGCTTCTCGATGGACTACAACTACATGCCGATGGCTCCTCCCTTTTTTTGTGGTATCAGAGGGGAGCCTTTCTGGATCGCGGCAATAAGTAGATAGAAATATTTCTTTCGGCCAACACGACAGGAAGTTATCAAGTTAGCAGCCGAACACATATCTATGAACTGGAGTCGGGCACGGTGGGTTTCGAAGGAGGAAAAGAAGAAAAGGGGGAGCGACGGGAAGCGGCAACGATCCCGAATTATCTTGGCAATGACGCTCCTGATGGTGTCGACCATGGCGACTGCGAACGTTTACTTTGCCGGCCTGCTTGCCCTGGAGCGGGCCACTTTAGTGTTTTGACCTCGCCGGTGTGCAGGATGGCCAATCCAGTTGGCGGACCGGCAGAACCACGAAGACGGTAGAGCAGGGTCGGCTAGGATAGGGCAATAACTATCAAGGTAGATACCTCACTCCGTAGTTAGCGACCTCGCCAAGTCGTGGGACCACGCCGACCTGAGACATCTTCAAAGAAATTATCCGGAGGCATGCTGGAAAACAGCCCGACCGAGTGGATACAGGATTGTCCCCATCCATCGACTTTTGCGACCTCACCAGGTGCAGGCCTTCCCTTGCAGCTGTCAAGCCTTTAATCCCTTCCCGCAGCTGCTCACCATGCGGGTCTATGCTCTTCTTGGCCGGGTTCATGTCGAGGACGCTGGAAAATCCAGAGATGATCACTTTCGTAGTATCTGACACCTCTTCGAACATTGCTTCTTCTCGACCTCTGTGCGGTCATCCGATATCAGTTCCCGACTGGCAAGAAAATTTCCAGTCTGGTCTTGATGGCCAGTCCTCTCCGTCGAGCAGCCATCGACGCCCTTGTCCCAGCCCAGGAAGCATGTTACCCCGGCTCCCGAGACCCGGCCAAGATCAAGAAACGATACGAGCTAGACATTCCATGCGAACCTGACGCCACGCTGGATTAGTGCCATCCTCAAACCTGCCCAAAGCGAAGCGGTGGTGGAGGTTGCATTTCATGTCCTTCGTCCTGTCCCCCTTCCTTTTTGCTTTGTCCACTCAAGTGGTTGGTCGTGCTCGCTGAGGCATGCAAAGAGAACCCGTAGGAGTGAGACGAATACTTGGCAGCGTCTCCCTTCGCGTGGCGGGCAAAATTGGGCGCCAGGAACATCTCCATACGGATCGTATCGCACGTTACGACGGGCGCCGACGCCATATGTCATATATCTGTCGGTGCAAGCGCGCACCTCCAACGACAAGTTTGGTCGCATAGTTGCAAAGAATCTATGTGAAAAATGATCACCTGCACGGCTTCTTCGCCCTTTCGATGGCGGACGCGACCGAGTGGGCCGTCGAGCTGCGCCGCTGCATGAATGAGCTTGCCTCTCTCAACTCGCCGGTGGACACACAGGTTGCCGTCAACACGCCGGGCGTCGGCCGGCCTTCTACGACGCCCCGGCTTACGGCGTTCTCTGGGCTGCGGGCTGCCGAGCTGGAAGTCCACGTTCATGTGTAGCCGGCGTCGGGACCCTCCTACCCACACGATGCTCGCATCCGGGCTCGGTACCGTCTCGTGGGGATGGCATTCGTACGTCAGCTTAGGCTTGCCTGTGCAAGTCGTCCTAGGGCACATGGGCGAAATGGTGTGGGCAGCATCGACTACCGTTTTAGCGCCCGCGGTCTTCCGTGGGCCATTTGGGTTGGGTGGGCCACTGGTTTTTCTATGGACCAGCCTAACCATTTTCTGAGGATGTCGTCCAGCGCCCGTGAAAGCGTCTGGGAGAATTTTTTCTGCGTATTGAAATACACCCTCTTTGTATGTGCAACTTTCAAGCCGATCCGGGCCGCCTTGTGAACTGATTTTGAGGGCGAACATCTTACCGGGGGTGTTGGCGGCGTGGGGATTTCCAATCCCCCCTCCTTCCTTTTTTTGGTACATACGGCTGGAATGTGTTGTATCGGTGGCGCAGCGCCAACAGGCGGCGCAGTCAGTCAAAATCCCCCATTTGGTCTCGGATCCTGGAATGTCAGTTGTTCTAAATATGCTGGACCTATCTGCCTCTTACCTGCCGAACCTACAAGCCACCAGCCATTATTTCAGTCCTGTCAGAGCCCACAACCATCATGGAAAACGCTCGGAATAACAGCGTCGGGGAGGAGTTCTTGCCATCGTCGCCCGACGCCAAAGTCGTGGCTCCTGCACACGATCACTAGTACCCCAACAGGCTTTTGCCTACCCACAGGTCTGCTACCTTCAGTTATCTGCGACCCCAGCCCGCCAGGTCAAGACTGCCACACTGTTCGTCAAGATCTTTGGCTTCTTCTGTTGCGCTTCAGCCACACGACATGGCGTCGCCACCGCGAAGCCCGCCTCGCAGCCTCCCTCCAGACGCCGCTCCTGCACGGAAAAGTGTGGTGCTGTCCCATCCACGGCCCAACGCGCACGGCACCTACCCAGAGCAATTCTACTTCCGCGGGGACATTGAGCCGCTCGAGGAGTACGAAGATGGAGGGTTCCATCCAGTCCACCTCGGCGACACATTCGGCTCCGAGGGCCGCTATCGCGTGATCCACAAGCTCGGACATGGCGGCTTCGGCACCGTCTGGCTTTGCCGCGACGACAGAACCGAGACCTATGTGGCCCTCAAGGTCCTGATCTCGCACGTGCCCTCAGAAGTCGAGGTTTTCGACCTCAAGCTGGCGCGGCTGGACCGGTCGATCCCCGGGTGGGAGTACATCGCCATGCCGCTGGACCATTTCACCGTCGCCGGGCCTAACGGAACCCACCACTGTCTTGTCCTCCCGGTGCTCGGCCCTCGCGTCTCTCCCAACTTTTGGCTCCACCTAGCCGAAGGGACGGACGCCGCGCCAATCCTGAGAGGCATGGCTCGCCAGGCAACCCAGGCCATGGGTTTCTTGCACCGGCATGGGATATGCCATGGCGGTTCGTCTACCTGCTTTTTCTTCATTTCCCTTGCTCCAAGTGGCACAGTCACGTCATCACGCTGACACCTGGTGGTGCCATATCAGGCTTTCGGGCTGCCAACATCGTCATCAAGCTCAAAGGGATTGATCTCCTCTCAGAGGAGGACCTGATGTCGCACCTCGGTAAACCCAAACTGATCAACGTGCGCTCAAAATCTGGAAGTCTGCCTCGCAGCCAGCCGTTGTATGTCCTGGAAGCGATCGGCATGACCCACCACCTTGGCAGCGACTTCCTCACCGACGAAATCCACGTCATCGATTTTGGGGAGTCTTACTATTTCGATGACCCGCCCGAATTCCTGGGAATGCCCGAGCTCTACCTTCCCCCCGAGGAGCTGCTTCTTCCTGATGTTGCCGAAGGGGATTTGACTTCGCCCGAGGATGGTGATGTCGGCAAAGAACACGAGGCTGGCCAAGAAAACGACGTATCACAGAAGGCGGCGGCGGCGACGACGAAGACGACGCAAGCATCAGACCCCCCGCCACAGAAGAGCCAAGTGCACATGGCAGTCAAGGGGCCCGCTTGCGACCTGTGGGCCCTGGGCTGCACACTCTTTGAAATCCGGGCGCAAGAGCCACTCTTAGACAAGACAGCCGACCGTGACGAGCTCCTGGAGCAGATGGTCCGGCTTTTCGGGAAGCTCCCAGAGCCGATGTGGGATTATCAGTGGGAAGGCCGGAGGAAGCGGTTCGACAATGAGGGCAACGACCTGGCCAGGGCGGGGAAGGGTGATCAGACATCGCTCGAGATGTATCTCTCGCCGCCGACGTATGGACTGCCACCGTCGGGCGGACGGAAGGGGATCAACATTCAGAAAGCCATCCCCGAGGCGGAGCGGAAATTGTTGGCGGACCTGCTACGCAGTCTCCTCAGGTATGCGCCGGGGGAGCGAGCCAGCGTCGAGAAGGTGCTCGCACATGACTGGTTCAAGTTAGATTGCGTTGCCGAAGATCCGGTTGAGGTCGTCACGGAGGCAGGGTCCAGGGGTGAGCCGTCGGGCGGAGACAGAAAAACAGTAGAGTCAACAGCCAGCCCGGATGCAAGGGAGAGGAAGAGAGCAAGGAGATGAAGATAGGTGAAGATACCCAGTGTGCAACAGTCATGTCAGTTATCAAGCGTTAAATGATTTTTAATTGATGCTTAACGAATTGGAAATGGTGAAAAAAAGATTCCCGGCAAATACAAAGAAATTGAACATACCACGCTTTCTCGGACAGATGATCAACGGTCTCTCACAAGTGCGGGAGGTGTCTTAAACCCGACCTAGAAATTGTGGTCTACGCTGACAGCAGTTGTCCCAGCCCTGAGTTAAGTCGATGTTGACCGTCTCACGTTGGACGGCGATCTGGGGCCATCCACCTGTCATCTTATATTTGCAACCTTGACTGCCTGTCAGCCCCTACTCCGCCAAGATGCATCAGGCTTTCAGGCTCTTCAGTTAAGCCCCGCATAGAGAGTCTTTTGAACCTTCAAAATGTTCGTCATTTGTTGATATTCCCAATCTACTAGTACCTCTTCTCCGCCTTCTCCATGCACCAACGCTAGGTATGGTGACGACAACGAACACGAAGGAAGCTCCTCGACCACCGTCGCCAGTCCACGGCGAGGCCGCCATCCGCGACCTTGCAGAGTCGACAGTGCTCTGCGGTCCGTACCGGGCCATTCTGTCCGATTCATGTTTCAACTACGACCGCCATCAACACTGGTGCCACCGGTCCCCGGCGGTGCTGTCGTCGGCTGAGCCGCCCACGAGGAACATGCCCAGGAAAACGCCGCCCAGAACTGAGAGAAAGTAGCCGGTGTTCATTGTCATTACCGCCACCATTCTATGGAGTGAGTGTGGTCAGATCACGTCAGCGTCATTCGGACATGGTCTGTATGCCAGGCAGACAACAGACGACATGACCAGCCCTCAAGAGACCACGGGTCCGAAACCTACAGAAAGTACCCCAGACACACCAACACCGCCTCACAGGACGCCCTCAACAAGCGCTCGCACACCGTCGCGCTGTGCCACCACCTCGACGCGACTCCGGCGACTCCTTTCGGGGCGGCTGCTTCAGGATCAGCCTCGCCCAAGCCCGTCTTCTCGCCGGCGAGCAGTAGCTCCTCAGCCGTGGCGTGATGTCGGGACGTTGCCTGCTCGTCGTGACGGAGAGGTAGGTGGTGGTGGCCGTCGGGCGGGCCCCGGAAGGCCGCGCGGGCGTGGAGGAGGGGCCGGACGGCGAAGAGGACGCGCGTGACGGTGGCGAGGGCGATGAGGAAGACGCAGGTCGCCGCGTACTGCTGGGGTCCGCTCGGCTTCCACCAGTCCCAGAACAACGGGGTCGAGGCCGAGTGGAAGAAGGTCATGGACATGGCCGACATGCCCATCGCCGTGTCGCCGCCGCCACCGCCGCCGCCATGCATGGCCATGGTCGGCGTCGGGGTTGGTGTGCTGACCGAGGTCATGCTAGTTGCCATGGCAGACATATCCATAGCATCCATACCTGTTGACAAGGCTTGGGGGGTCCCTTAAAGGGAAGCGGCGGCTACTGGACCTCGAGGTCGTCCTGCTTGGGGGCGTGAGGGGGCCAACGAATGACGGATAGCGCTGCCACGACCAAGGGAGTGCAAGAAAGAGCAGCCAAGGGCCATTTGAACTCGCAAGCTGGCTACCTATCTAGTAAGCAGCAAAACAATCGACCTAGCCCCTGCCAGGGATCGGGACGGAACGACGATACGAAGAGTGGCCCGGCGGGCAGCCCAACTAAGTTTCCCGCAACGACGAGGCCCGGAACAGCACGGCACACTGACTCATACGCGGTCCTGATGGTCCTCAGCTGCTGGCGTTGTGCGGGAAAGGTGAGCAGGATTACACGTCAATGCTTGCGAGTGGAGGTCGCGGGCTGGTTCTTGGCTCGGCCGTAGGGGACCGAGCAGGTGGTCTTGACAGTCAGGCAGCCGCCACTCCACGATCGGGCCTTTGGCAAGCTTAGCTGGCAGCAGAGCACCTTTGAGCAAGTTAGCACATCGTCTGACTGTTCCCCACAGGCCAGCAGGTGGCGGCCCCGGACAATTTTATGTGGCCAATGCATACACTACGGAATCGGGCATCAGGAGACGTTCCGTGAAAACCTCTCGATCTCGCTCCGGAGACCCTCTTCCCGATCCAACCCAATCTGGTGATTTTCCTGCTATCGAGAGCCTCCGCTCCTGTTCTTCCATGTCTAATGTGAATGGGGCGTCGTCCCACTCCCGGTCAATACAACCTCTCGGCCAGGGTGCTAGATCCCGCTAGTCGGGTCCGGCTGGCCAAACTGGTCGACGACAAAGCCAAACTCGGAAGGCCCAGTGTACATCTGGATCTCATACCCCCAGAACGGGACCCAGCTGAGGTCGCCGGCTTCGAGGATGTAGTTCCCAAACTTGACGCCCTTGGGGCCGGGCAGGTCCCAGACCAGCCTGAGCTGGAAGGCGCCGTCTCCCGCGTCGGCCATGGAGAACTCCACCGCGGGCCCGAACTGGTCGCCAGTGTGGAGGCAGTTGGTGTAGTCGACCGTTTTGAGGGTTCCATGCTTGTCCGTCGCGTCGGCCGCGGACTTGGAGACGCATTCGTGCCAGGTCATGTTGGTGCCGCCGTTTGTGCGTCGGACGGAGAAGGTGATGCTATGGAGCTGTCAGTGATGCTGGAAGTTATGCGTCCAAACAAGGGCTTTTGCACCCACTATTGCTGGAAATGCCCATCGGCGTCAGGGCGTTGCGGCGTAAACCCAGCCACGAAATCCTTGATGAACCCTTGTTCCAGCTGGCCGAAGACAAAAACCAGGCAGTGAAGTAAAAGGAAGACGCGTGTGCTCCATGCCATTGCCGTAGTGGTAAAGTTGACGGTAATACTGTGGGGGGCTGTGAAAGAGAACTGATCTAGTCGTAAAGCTAGGGTGGCTTAGGTAGGATGAAAAGCGAAGAGAGGAGCAGAAACGCCAACAGAAATCCCACCGTATTCGCGCGATTGTTCCTAAACTCTTCGGATAATGGATCGGCAGATGCATCGAGGTCAAACAAGATCGGGAGGCGTGGTGTCACTTGAAGCACTAGTGTGGCCTTCGGCTGGAGAATTCGATTTTTGTGCCCACCTGATGAAATCTACGTGATAAAAGCAAAGAACAACCTCAACAACACAGCATCGGCCCAGGACTTTCGCCTAGACGCTGATGGTCTTGAAGACGCTGAACTCGTTGCCTGTCGCGACAAGGGTTCCGGGTATCTGCGGGTGCCAGTGCAGCTCCTTCGCGTTCTCGTGGTAGTGCACAAACAGCAGCTGCGGCGGCACGTCCTGCACTCCCGCCGTGTCGCGGCTCTCCTCGTCGTCCAGCTCCACCGCCAGGTCCCACAGCGTGACCGTGTTGTCGCCCGCCGCCACGGCCATGATGCTGTCGTCGGTCGGGTGCCACTCGATGCTCGTGATCTGCTCCTTGTGGTACGAGAAGCTGGCGATCGGGGTCGACGAGGTCGACGCCCCCTTGCCGCCTCCCGCCGCCGCGGGCTTCCACTGGCGGAGGTCCCACACGGCCCAGGCACCGTCGTCGGCGCCCGTGGCGAGCAGGTGCGTCGTCTGCCTGGACCAGCTGGCCACGTTGACGTCCGTGTCGCTGATCTTGACCGACAGCGCCGCCGCCCGGCTCTTGCTGCGGATGTCCCAAACCCTGACGGTGCCGTCGCTCGACGCCGAAGCGAAAACGGAGGCTTCCGAGGGGCTCCATTGGATGTCCTCGACGCTGCTGGCGTGGCCTGCAAACGGCCTGGTATCGGTGACGAAGCCGCCGCCGTCTGTCCTCGTGGTCATGTACATTAGGCCATCGTTGTCGCCCGTCATGAGGCGGCCTAGGGGGTGCAGGTTGCTTGGTTGCCAGTCCACTGCGTAGCCCTCCGACTTGTGCGCCCGGATTGTTGACAGCGGCTTGTTCTGCTGTGTCGTCACGACGCTGCCGGGGGTGTCAAAGGAGGCGAGGTGGGGGGTGATGTCGTGGATGAACACCTTGGAGGACTCGGTCATGGTGGCTGTCAGGGTCGTCGGCCGAGACCCCGAAGAGGGTGACTGGTGGATGCGGATACGATTCGTCGTCGAGTTCAGGGGTATCGACTTGGACTCGAGAATAGGATCGGCGTCCTCGTCGTCGTCGTCTTCCGAGTCTGAGTCGCCTGCGTCCCCCTTATCCATCTTGCTCAGACCGCTGAACTTCATCACCATTATCTGGTTCTCGTTGACCCTCGCGTTCTCGGCCTGGGTGCCGGCGACGGTATACATGGTGGCGGGGTAGACTTTGCGGTTGTCGCCCAGGGAGTCGCGCACGATGTCGAAGGACAGGCAGGGCCATGGCGTAGTGAGGCTGTGCAGCATATCGTAAGTAGTCGGATCTGGCGAGAGGATCTGGCCGGGCTCGAGCTTGGTGCGGCCGACGATGAATGTGCCTGGCCCGGCGCCGTCGACGTCCATTGCGCTCTTCTCCTCGGCTTCGCGCTCCGCATCTGGACGCCCGTCGACTCCGGCTTCTATGATCTCGTCCTCGCTCTCGAATTCGTCCTCGAACTCGTCTTCAAACTCGCCCATGTCCGGCCTCGACTGCTCGTCGACATCCATGGCATCGTCGGCCCCCGGCCGGCGCCCTCCCTTGAGCGCGCCGGCCGTGGCTTCTTCACCGCCGAGCGGCCGCTTCGTTTTCGGGGACGTGACCGTACTTGAGGGATCTGCGGAACTCATCTTGACTGTGAATTGTTGTGCGAGCGACAAGCAGGTCCAGCTCTTCCTCGCGCGTCGCCCCTCCAAGTTTTTTTTTTTTTGCCCGCTTGAGGGTCGTAAACCCCGCAGCGCATTCAATCCCCTGTAATCTCTGCGGGTTTGATTGGATCGGTAGGTAATGGAGATCCCCATTGGTGGGGTAGGCCCACTATTTCATCAGTGTCTAAAAAAAAATCCCCTTGACATATGACGTTGTTTGCTGCTCCCCTGTTCCTTTCCCGTCTATTCCTTGTCCTCGTTGAACCACGGGCGGTCCAGATATCAACATCCAACAACCACTCTACCACTAGATTCAACTAGTAGATGTACCTGAAGCCAACTGCTCTCCTGTCGACATCCACAGACACCCCTCCGCTGCCAATCCCCGCCTCGGCCGCCTCGAGCTTCTTATTCTCCTTCTTGTGGATAAAGCGCAGCGCCAAGGCGAGTCCCGCCACGATGAGGCAGATTACCGTATTCGCGCTACCTCCTGGGATGTACCGCGGCGCGTGCGAGATGGGGTACATGTACGAGCCGTAGATAGACGCCGTGTTTCCAATCATGTTGGATATGGCGATAACCGCGGACCGCTTGACGAGCGGGCGCGGGAACGAATTGGCGACCCAGGATACGACGATTTGGTCTGCCTCGGAGTTAGCGCCTGTCTGATTTTCCGCTATTCCATTGCTTTGACTTACAGGCCGAGAGGGCGCCCATGGGCATGAGGAACATGGCAAAGAAGCGAGCTCCCAGCGATGTTGTTGCCGCCGCGATTGCATTGCCGACAGCGCCGATCAGCATCAGACCAACGATGTGGAGAGACCGATCTTGTGTTTTTGCTGACGTCCATGTCACGAGGATCGAGACGAGGAATGCTACAAACTAAATGTTGGACAGCTGTTAGCCGGTTTATCAGCATTCGATGAGCCGCCAGCCAGGACAGCACTTACCCAAACCGGCACCGTAAGCCAGAGAGTATTGATCGGGCTGTATCCAAGAGTTCCGACAATGGAGGGGAAGAAGTATTGGAACGTTAGGGCGACGAGGTTGAGGTGCTGGAGCAGCACAAAAACGTAAAGCCGGTAATCTTTGACGGCCAGCTTCAATCCCGCCCACACGCCGGCATGCTGGTCGTCGGCTTCGTTGATGTCCTCCAGCAGGCGCCAGGCAGCAAACGACTTTTCCTCCTCGCTCAGCCACTTGGTGTTGTGGGGGTAGTCTGGAAGGATGAACCCCACGATAATAGCAACGCCAATGGTCATGACGCCCTCCTGTTTTGAGAGCGATACCGCTGTCAGTTTCATGCTTTCCCGGAGGTTATGCAGGCCGACTCACGACAATGAACAACCAACGCCACCCCGCTATCCCATGTGCCCCCTCCAGTCCACCGAGGATTGCCGCCCCGAGCAGTCCCCCAAACATGTTGGCCAGGGCGTTGCCCGAGTAGAGCCAGGCCATGCGGCGTGTCAGCTCGGCGCGGGTGTACCAAGAGCTCATAAGGAAAACGGCGCCGGGGAAGAAGGGCGCCTCGACGAAGCCGAGGAAGAATCGCACGACGACGAGGCTGCGGAACTCCTGGACGGCCGCGTTGCAGGTGCTGACGGTCCCCCAGAGCAGCGTCGCCAGGCTCAGGTACAGGCTCGGGCGGACGCGCGTGATGAGCAGGTTGGACGGCAGCTGCATCAGCAGGTAGCCGACGAAGAAGATGGACGTGGCCAGGTTGAAGTCGGTCCCGCTCATGCCGAGGTCCTTCTCCAGCGTGCCCTGGCGCGCCTGGGCCAGGTTGCTGCGGTCGAGAAAGTTGAGGAGGTACATGGTAATAAGGCAGGGCAGCATACGGGCGTCGATCTTGCGCACGAGCCGCGTGTCGGCCTGCTGGCGCCACGCCGCGTCCTGGCCCTCAAAGTGCTCGACGAAGGGCAGCTTTGCGCTGGCGGGCTTTGCGGGCGTTGGGGTCGCATCGCTGCCCTTGGAGCCGGGCCTCTCAACCTTTTCCTCGCTTTGCACCTGTGCCATCCTGTGCTTCCCGACGGTGTCTTTGCGTGGTTGTACCCGGAAACACTAGCTTGGTGGCGGGCTTCTAACTTTATACGTGGCACCCAGGCCGGATGATGGTTGGGGCGACGTGAAAAGGTTGAGCAAGTCACACACGCTCCTTGCCGCGCTCCCCTTGCTCTCGATTTCGGATTAGGTATTCCCCTACGAGAACCCTCTCATTTCTCAAATCTCTTTAGGTGGTACACGACACGACGTCAGCATCCCGCGGGTCTCGGTCGGCCACGAGGGAGTGCGAGTCCACATCCCCGCAAAATGCGGCACCGAAGAATGGGCCTTTCCCCGCGCATCGGCGTGCCTGCCGCCTTGTTATGCCCGTTGTAGGGGACGGGGGAGGGCGGTCGTGTGTCCACTACGTCTTGCTGAGCGCCCGCTGCTGATTACCCAGCTCTCGACTACCACCCATCCCGGCCATAAAAGGTCCGGGGAGGTCGAAGATTGCATTTTCCAGCACTATCTTATAACGGCCTACCTAGGTATAAAGACATGTTCTTTCAGTAAGGCTACGATGGCAAAATAATCCTAGCTGGGCGTTTCCAGGATTGGAGCTCGGCAGGCAAGATGTCTTGACGCAGCCGAGGCGGCGCCACGTCGGCAAGACAGTGGGGGCGGCTAATAAACGACATGCCCCCACGACGGGAACTTCCCCGCGTCGGCACTTGGTCGGAAAAGAAGAACCAAGCTGACACAAGCTTATTCGGCTTGGGTTAGGGCGAAGGGCCCAAGCTACTGCGGTTGCGATAATTTCTTTCATTCCATTCCATCCAGAGCGAATTTAGAGATCTTGCAATTCCCCAAAGCAGCTCTAACACAAAATTCCCTCACGCAACGTTGAGGCCCCTCTCCAGAAACCCAAACCGAGCGATTAGAAGCAAAGCCTCACTTCGCACATTGCCCCAATTATTAGGGAGTACTGATGATGGTGACCGGGAACTCGAAGCTCATTCCTTTCTCAGGCACTATATCGGCCAGGCCGGTCGCGTTGACCCTGGTGCCGTCCTCCTGGGTGTAGATGTGCGCGGCGCCCAGGTACATGTGCGTTCTGTTCGGCCCGTCGGTCCAGAGGGTCTCGACGATGTTGTTTCCAGGGAGCGGCGACAGATCCGGGTTCCAGCAGACGCGCCAGCCGGACTGGATGTAAACGCCGTTGCACACGACGTTGAAGCCGGGCGCGCCCTCGCGGTAGCCGGCGGGCGCCGTGAGGTTGAACGCGTTGCTGCAGCCGCCGGGCGAGCACCCCCAGATGTAGTTGCTGGCCTGGAACACCGGGGTACCGGCTTCATCCCTCTTGGCCCAGGTGGCCGCGGCGGGGGCGGGCGGGCCCTGCTGGTCCCAGCGGGGAGCGGATGGGATAGCGGTCGCGGAAGAGGTACCGACAAGGGCAGACGCTAGGAGGGTGGAGAGGAAGCTGGAGGAGATCATGGCTGCTAGTGGTGTATACGTTTCGGGTCCGAGAGTGATACTCTTGGTCGTTTCCAAGTGGATTCTTCCTTTTCTAATCTTGATCTGATGAGTTCGTGAGTTTGATGCCTCTCCAGATATCACGACACTGTTTGATCCCAGGACAGCCACATATTTTATACATTGGTGTCCTAACTAGCGATACTAGGATCGCACAAGCCAAACCCTTTAGAGCAAGCTAACCCATGGGATCGGCCAGTAACAACCCAAGAAGCTCGTAACGGCCCGAAACCAAATATTCACAAATTCCGGGGCTGGAGTGCAGATCGTCAGCGCCTCGAATGAAAACACCCAATCGGGCCAAGAGTGCCGTCGGGTTTCGATGCCACACCGTCACACGCCGTTTGCCATGCGAAACCCTGTGATTGGATCGCTGTGCGAGAGCTGGCCCGCTAGCTGAGAGCAGGGCGTAGTGGCCGATGACAGTTGGACGGTTGCCTCCTAGCCGCCTCGGTGGCTGCTACTGTCAACCAAAGATGGCGCCGGAACGGTCCCAGGATACGACGCCATCCTTCGACCCTCGTGTTCTGCCCTCGTGTTTGCCAGATCTGACGCGTCAATGCAATCGGCCCTTTGAGGATTCCTGAGTGACAGCCGCACACGGGCGATCTTACGGCGAAAACGCAACCGATCCGCGGCCTGAGGAATGTCTCCCGAATGTCCAGATTCTTGGACGGAGGAGACTGAACAAGGCCCAGGAGGCAGGTACTAAACCGTGGTGTCCCAAATTGGCAGCAATTGACGTCATCGTCACATGGTGACGGTCGGTGAGCCTTGGACGCATTCCAGGGCATGCGGCTGAGACGGCGACCAAAAGAAGACGGACATCTATCCAAAGGCAGCACGTTTGTATCGTATCTTCGCGGCCACATTGATGCATTCAATATCTCGAGAGGTGCCAATTTCGGTAGCGCTGCCGCACCCACAACAAGCGGGGAAGCCCCTGAACAAACAGCAAAACAACTCGCAAAGCGCAACAACGTGCTTTGCCAGGGCATCGCGCTCGGTTCGCTTGCACCCCGGATTCGGGAGGTGGCCCGGCCCACGTGGGCGCAGAGACGTCGCAATTCGATCGGGGAGGGCTTGTCCAAGCTTTATCGAGGAGTCGCCCAGGATGGGCAGGAACCTCGGCATAATGTGAAATTACACGGAGCCCCATAGAGAGGGGGCTGTCAACATTGGCCTGTGGAGTCCGGGGATGGTCGGTGAGGCCAAGGTTGCGTACAAAAACATGGACAGCAGACGTGCTGGATGGCGGTTGGCTCTCCACCTCCAGAGCACCGTGCCGCGTCAAGGCTTCATCAGCCGCCAGTCGACGTCCTCCCATCTGCAACTTGCGCCTCGAGCCTGATCGTCCGCTCCGCAACCAAAGAGCCATGACTCTCGCCGCTTCTCTCGGGGCCATCCTGGCCGGCGTGAGCCTCGTGCACGCCCAGGGCGCCGGCACGCGCCTGGACCCCGTCCAGCCCGTCCGCCTGCCCGACGGCGTCTCCGTCAAGAGCCCGCTCGCGCACCTGGGCGGGAACGGGCCCTGGACCGACGCCGGCAACGTCAACGGCATCTCGTCCGACGTGCCCGAGGGCTGCCACGTCGACCAGGCCGCCTACGTGCTGCGCCACGGGTCGCGCTACCCGGACCCGGGCGCGCACGGCGGCTGGCTCGAGATGGCCCGGCGGTTCAGGGAGGGCAACTACACGGCCACGGGCCCGCTGGCCTTCATCCACACCTGGGACACGCCCCTGACGCGCCCGGACGTGCAGATCGCGCAGCTCAGCCAGACGGGCTACAAGGAGCTGCACGACCTGGGCTACACCCTGCGGACGCGCTACCCGGACCTGTACCGCGAGGGCGAACCCTTCTACGTCTACGCCAACAACTACACGCGCGTGCTGCAGACGGCCAAGCTCTTCCTCGGGGGCTACCTGGGGCCCAGCGCCACGGCCCTGGGCAACGTCGTAGCCGTCACTAGCCGCGGCTTCCCCGACCAGCTGGCCAACACGCTCGCGCCCTCGGACATGTGCCCGACCTTTGTCGACGACTACAGCACGCAGCAGGCCGAGTGGCAGCCGCGGTGGCTGCCGGCCTTCAAGGAGCGCCTTTCGCAGTACGTCAGCGGCGACCTGCAGCTCGAGGACGGCCAGTGGAACGACTTTGCCTACATCTGCGGCTTCGAGTCCCAGATCACCGGCCGCCTCTCGCCCTTCTGCGACACCCTCACCGACGCCGACCTGGCCGGGTACGAGTACCAGCAGGACCTCCGCTACTGGTACGGCCACGGGCCCGGCGCCGCCGTGTCGTCGCGCATGATGGTGCCCTTCCTCGACGCCCTCGTCGCGCGCTTCGTCGAGGGGCCCGACGCCGACCGCGGCGTGGGGCCGGACGGCAAGTCCGAGTTCGCCGTCCCCAAGCTGCTCATGAACTTCCTCAACGACGGCCAGCTCAACCAGCTCGCGGCCGCCATTGGCGTGTTCGACGAGCAGCAGCCGCTCCCGACGGACCGCATCGCCGAGGACCGCCTGTGGCGCAGCTCGCGCATCTCGCCCATGCGCGGCACCATCGCCTTTGAGCGCCTCACTTGCCGCGTGTCGGGCGGCGGCGGTGGCGGCGGCACGGCGCCCGCGCCCGCGCCCACCACTACCAAGCGGGCGTGCAAGGCCAGGCCCACGGGCGCGGCGCAGAGGAAGAAGAGGCAGGCGGCGGCGGCGACCGGCCGCAACGAGACCTACATCCGGATCCGGATCAACGAGGCCGTCTACCCCGTCCCGTCGTGCCAGGACGGGCCCGGCAAGTCGTGCCGCCTGGCCGACTACGCAAAGTACGTGGGCGACAAGCTCGCCACCATCGGCAGCTTTGCGGAGTTGTGCAACGCCACGGCCCCGGGGACGCCCAGCACCGTCAAGGGTGCTAGCTTCCTGACGAACCTCAACCAGGACCACCTCAAGATCATCCACCCTTAGGTGGAAGCGGGAAGCCGAGATGATGTAATGATGCCATATGTACCTAATGCGTAATAAACTAATGCGTATATACAACAAATCCCTGTCTCCTTCGTCTCCTGTCCCCTTCCCAGCCCCCAGCCGCCGTGACCAGCCCGCAAGGAGAAACCCCCAGGATGCGACTAGCACGTGTTCAGCATGCTGGTCAGTGCCGTCTTCTCGGCGCCCGTGATGGTCAGCTCCCAGTAACTCTTGACCTGGACCCAGGACTTGGCGTAGGTGCAGTAGAAGGACGCCAGGGGCGGCTTCCACTTGTCGGGGCTGCTGTCGCTCTTGGCGCCGTTGACGCTGCCGGTCACGGCCCAGAGCTGGGGGCGGGTGAGGTCGTTGGCGAATTGCTGGCGCTTGTCCGTGGTCCAGGAGGCGGCACCGGACTGTGTGTGTGGAGGGGATGTTCGTTAGCAACAGTGGGCAATTTGGGGGAGACAGAGAAAAAAAAAAACCAAGAGGTAACATACAATCCAGGCATTCTTCAGCGGGATCATGTGGTCGATCTGGATGTCCGAGGCGCTCGTCCACCTGCCGCCGTCGTAGGGGCTCACCCACGTGCCCGACACGGCGTTGCAGGCCGCATTGGTCTCGACGTTTGTGCCGTCGCGCTTCAGCACCGTCTCCCGGGCGTTGCAGTTGCCGGACACGGCGATCCAGTGGGGGAAGAGGCTCCTGCTGTAGCCGGTGCCGGTGCTCGACGGGGCCACGGTGAGGCCCGCGAGCTGGGCCTTGGCGGCCGTGGTGGACGGGATTCCCGGCTGCGATATCGTGGTGTTAGTCTGCGAGTGTCTTTGCATCTGTAATGGGCGGAGGGGTGGGGGGACAGGCAGCGTGCCCGTGCTAGATGCGGGGTTTTCGGGCTTGCTTACAGGGGCGGGCTCGGGGATGGGGGCCGCGACGGCCAGGCCGACGAACGACAGGAGCACCGAGAGCTTCATGGTTGCGGGCCGCGGTGGGGGAGCTGGTATGGGCGAAAAAGGGACTATAGGCGAGGGCTAAGGGGTTCAGCCAGGCTCGCTGTGGAACAGATCCATCTCCGCGACAAACGTTGAAGGGGGAACGACCAGGTTATATACTAGCCTGCCATCCATCCATCACCCACCCCATCAGGAAAGCCTCTCGGTGTGGTGCCAATGCCAGTGAGGGGCTTCCCTTACCCGGCCGCCGGGGTGCGCTTAGTCGATATCTCCTGGTGGGCGGGCACGGCATCCCCAGTGCAGCTGAGTCGAAACACACACAATAGCCTAGCTCTCCTATGGCTTAGTGGCGCTGACTACCAAGTTGCACGAATGGCCGTTGACGCCGCGGATTGGCCCGCGGGCACAGGGACCAGGTCACCAAGCCACCGCCCGCCCATCCACCCACTGCTGCTTGCTGCATCCGAAGGGCCGCTACACGGACCAATGCCAAGTCTGGCAATCGTCAGCCGAGGGGAGCGCCCCGCGCTGTCCTTGTCTCAGGCGCTGTCCTTGTCTCAGGCGCGCGCGCCCGCCGCCCGATAGCCAGTGGCTACGCGTAAGCCGTCACGGTGGCTGCTGATAAGGCGTCCCCTTGTGGAGCTCGGCTCGATGGCTCCCAAGCTGTCGTGCCCCCGCGACGAATTAATTGATACACCAAACCAAAAATGACTTTAGGTCCTCCCCAGCTGCGTCGATTTCAATGTTTGAAGAAATAAAAACTGCTTATCTTTGCGAACGATCGAAAAGATATTATTTTGTGTTAAAATGCTATCTAATGGAGTTGCTTGCAGTTGCGGACGAAGCTGGTCAAACGAATCTGGCAGCCTGAGGCCCAATTTTCTACGCTTGGTGTATCAATTGATTCGTCGCGGGGGTGCCAGGCAGAGAAGGCACGTGTGCATCTCATCGCGAACTACCGAATCAGGGGTCTTTTCCTCCTCGTCCCCCTAGCCCTGGCGTGCCTTCAGGTCTGTTGCGAGGCCAATCAGCAACCACAGGCGGGCCATGCGGGCGCGCGACGACAGACCGAGTCGTGCAGGGGAGCTGACCTTCCTGATCCGGACGTCTCGGGTTTCCGCATCAAGAAGGCAGGAGATGAGGGTTGTCATCCACCCGCGATGCACGGTAAGGTGGAGGATGATATTATTGTTTCAGTTAGAAATCTGGGCGCTGTTCGCAATCTTGGGTCTGTGGTTCAAACTTTCTTTTGTTGTCTCGCCAGGTGCTGGTCGTTGGTCTGTTTGGCGCCAGGTTGTCAAAGGACGACATCCCAGCGGCCACCTCCTCACACCGAAATCACTCCCATAGACGCTCCAATGCTAAGGCCACAGCACCCATATCGCCGCGCCGAGATGATCCCCGTGGGGGCATCGCCCTCTTCTACCAAGGACATGGGAACAGGGCGGTTGATATGTTAAAGTATAAAAAGAGGGCACGAGGTGGAGTGAAGCGGCCAACTTCAAGTCGTAAGCCCCGCCCGGCAGGTAATACTTCGTACAACCTATAGATTACGGGATATGAGGGTTTTTATGAAAGAAAGAGGGGCGAAAATATTCTTTGGAACGTTGCTGATTTCGGCCAAGAGGTTGCATGGGATGGATGGAATGTGTGTCGGCTCGAGATTGCCCGATCGCCAAGCCGGCAGCCAGGTAGATCTGGAGCTCCCTGCGGCTGAGCCCCTGTCGGTTGTTTTCAGGTCAGAGACTTCCAGAAATCTCCTCACCTTCATATTCCATCTGGATCCCAATCTCCATCTGGATCCCAATCAGGCGAGCCACGTCAGCAGCACTATTTATCTCCCCTGGGTGTCAGCTGCCATCTTGAATTAGTTGTGGTCGGATGGGATATGCACAGTCTTCAATACACTGGACTAGGTGAGCCTCGCTATCTCGGCGTGATTCGGTATATTACGCAGGCTGCATTACACCAGTATTATAGCTGGATATCACGCCATGACGGCCGACCTGATGGCATTGACGCACCGCCACACGTCCTCAAAAGTGTTGTACATTGGCACCGGGGCCACACGGATCACGTTAGGCTTCCGCTTGTCCAGCACGACGCCCGCCTCGCCCAGCTTCTCTATAACCGTGTCGAGCAGGCCCTCGCGCAGCAGCACGCTCAGTTGCGCGCCGCGCTCCTCCCTGTTGGCGGGCGTGATAATGCGGAACGCGGGCTCCCGCCCGTCGCCACGCGCCAGCGCCTCGTCCGCCACGACCCGGCCCAGCAGGTGCTCGGCGTAGGCCGTCAGGCGCAGCGACTTTGCGCGCAGCTCGGCCATGGTGGTGCGGCTGAACACGGACAGGGCGCCGCTGAGGGCGGCGAGGTCGATGGCGCTGGGATTGGACACGATCCAGCCCTGCGCGCCGGGCGTCGGGACGAACTCCTTGGCCATGTCGAACCGCACGCTCTTGTCGCCGCCGTACCAGCCCGCCAGCCTGGGGTGGTACTGCGCGCCCTGGCCCTGCGCCCGGGTAACCTCGCCGTGCCGCCGGTGCACAAAGGCGCCCGCGATGGCGCCCGGGCCGGCGTTGAGGTACTTGTAGGTGCACCAAACGGCGAAGTCGACGCCCCAGTCGTGCAGTCGTAGCGGCACGTTGCCGGCCGCGTGCGCCAGGTCCCACCCCACCGTGATGCCCTTGGCGCGTGCGTGCGCCGTGATGCGCTCCATGTCGAAGAGCTGCCCGCTCCAGTACTGGATGCCGGGGAGGAGTAGCAGGGTGGTGCTGTTGGAGTGCTCGTCGATGGTTCTTAGGATCTGCTCCGTCGAGATGTAAAAGTTCTCGTTTGGATGCAGCTCCACCAGTGATTTTGCTGGGTCCAAGCCATGCCATTCGATCTGGGAAGCTATGGCGTACTGTTTATGGCTGGGTCAGATATATGTTGCGGTTTTTTTCCCGGGCGGAGGAGGCAAGAGAACGTACAGTGTCGCTGGGAAATGGCTTCCACTCGGCAATGATCTTGTGCCTCGTCGCCGTTGGTCGGTAGAAGCTCGCCATCATAAAGTGCAGGTTCGCCGTCAACGTGTTCATGATGGCGATCTCATCGGCGCCGGCAGCACCAACTATGGGCACCGACTTGGTCGCGAGGTCGGCCGCCATGTCCTGCCAGCTGCCACCCAGCGGCGACTCCTCCATCGCCGTAAAGTGCCCGTGCACACCGACTGAGGCCCAGGTCTCCAGCTGCGCGTTCAGGTGTTCCCGCACCGCCTTGGGCTGCAGCCCCAAAGAGTTGCCGCAAAAGTACACTGCAGGGGTGGTCTCGTCGGAGCCGGAGCCGGCTTCCGCCTCGGCGCTCCCCGTCCCATTCTCCTGGGCCGACGGCTGTGGAGACGGAGACTTGTGGTTTGGTGGGTAAGCTATACACGGGAACACGGGGGGCGTCAGTCTATGCACCCAAGGGGTGGAGGCATCTGGGATGATGTCGGGACACGCCACGGGCGTACCACGGCGGTCGATCCACTCACCAGGGATCTTGCCGTCCAGGGCCTTCTTCTTCAGCGAGGCCACTGTGGGGAAGATAAAATGCTCGCGCAGGTGCCGCAAAGGGTCCTGGGCGTCCTGCGAGAGAGCGTACTCTAGTGTGCCGGCATTGGCAGGAAACTCGACGGCATCCGAAGTCGCAGACATGGCCTCTGACTGACACGAGGGTTGACAAATGTGATGGAAGGTTAAAGGATGACGTGCAGGAGTGGATAGCACAGCTATGACAGGCAGGGGGCCGTGGTGAGAGGCAGTGGTGGGTGGTGGGCTTGACAGCATAAAGTTGTAGCTTTTTCCTGTTCTGTCCCACTTATTCGAACGGACTTGGCGTGTTCCTTGGGCTGTGTGCTTCTCTCTTTGGCTCCCTCATATCAGTTCGTCTAGCCGAGTGAGGACGGCTGAACACACTTTGTAGACAGCGTCGTCTCCCGCAGTGTCTCGGCTTTGGACTTCGGCGCGAGCGGCGGCTGGGCGATTCAGCACAGCGTAGCGGCTGCTACGCTGCCCCACGCGCTCCGCCGATGCCGCAGCGCGGGTGTTGCCGCGTTCCAGCGTGTTCCAAGGCCGTGGGAAAGCCGCAAACGCTGACATAATCGAGAAGAAAACCATGGCGGCTCCACCACGTGAGCATTCCGTACTGCTGGACCGAAGCCGTTGCTAGCCGCTTTTCATGACGGTTGACCGTGGATATCGCCATCTGCCCCAGCAAGAACAACCCTTGGTTCCTGCACTTCCCAAGCGAAGCATGCCTGCTAGCGTCGGAAGAAACAGGCACGCGGTGGGTCAGATGAGGCAATTACGGCATTATTCCGCAGCTTCGTAAATATTCGTCTCCATTTCCGTTCGTTTTCATGACACATTCTTCACCTCACCGCTCGTTTCACGGCCGACTTCGGGATTTTGAGTGCCTTGGAGTGCTCATGGCAGGGTCAGGGGCAGTTGCGCGGCCCAGAGGGCGTTTCCTTAAGGTGTCTTCGCGGGTCCTGACTGGCAAGCCGGACGATTTGCAGCACAGCATCGTGCCTTCTCCCATCAGACTTTCTGCTTCCCGCTTTGTCCGGACCTTGGGGGGTCAGTGCTTTTGTACTTGGGCCGAAATCTGACAATTTCCAACCCGTTTTTGGTCCGTTCTGCTGGGTCTTTGGCTCCTCTTTTTCGCTGCCATGTCACCGCACGAAACCACGTCCAAACAAAGCGCCGCGCTTGATGATCTTGCAACCACCTTCACCGTTACCACCAATGGCTTTCTCCCAGCTGAGACTCCGCTAGCGCGCATACCCGATGCGTACTATCAGCCATGGGAGACTCTGGCTCGGGACCTCCCAAAACTGCTCCGGGAAGGGAAGCTGAGGAGCGCCATCGATAATCTCCCCATCCTCGACTGCTCTCGGCTCGGCCCGGAGCCCGAGTGGAGAAGGGCGTATATCGTCTTGACTTTCCTCACGCACGCCTATATCTGGAGTGGCGAGACCCCATCTGAGCGCCTGCCGCCCCAGGTTACAGTCCCCGTTTTGGCGGTATCGGAGCACCTCGACCTGCCCCCGGTCGTCACCTATGCGGCTTCGAATTTGTGGAACTTCCGCACCACCGGCGCCGCGGGAGATCCCGCTTCGTTCAGCGACCTGGAGTCTCTGGACTGCCTGCTCAGCTTTACGGGAACCCCCGACGAGTCATGGTTCTACATAATTAGCGTTGCCATGGAGTGCGAGGGCGGCGACATCATCCCGACCATGCTCTCTGCCATGGAGCGCATTTCGGCGGCTGGTACCAACGGCGCGGACGTGTACACCACCGCCACAGCCGCCCTGGAGCAGTTGATGGCGTGCATCCGTCGCGTCGGCCGCATCCTCGACCGGATGCACGAACGCTGCGAGCCCGAGGTCTTCTACCACGCCATCCGCCCCTTCCTTGCGGGTAGCAAAAATATGCAGGCAGCTGGTCTACCACGGGGCGTCTTCTACGAGCGCGGCGGGGGCGAGGGCGACTGGATGCGGCTCAGGGGCGGGAGCAACGGCCAGTCGTCGTTGATCCAGTTTTTCGACCTCGTCTTGGGCGTCGAGCACGCTGCGACCGAGACCCAGAATTCTGGCGCCGCCCAAGAGCGGCCCGTGTCGCCGACTCTCCACAAGTCCACGCAGATGGCTGCCGCTGAGGAGGAGCCTGAGCTCCCCTTCCACGAGGAGGTGCGCGCTTATATGCCCGGCCCCCACCGGCGGTTCCTCGCGCACGCACGCGCCCTGCCCAGCATCCGCCGCTTTGCCCTTGAGCCGTTTGAAGCTGCCGACCCGCTGTCCGCAGAGAAGCAGCTGCTCCAGGAGACGTTTGAGCACGCCACCAAGGTCCTGGCCGAGTTCCGCAACAAGCACCTGCAGATCGTGACGCGGTACATTGTCGTGCCCTCCCGCAAGCACCAGCAGAGCCAGAAGAAGGGGTCCATCGGCCTGGCCGCTGCCGGGACCACTCTTTGGCGTGAGCCGCCGCAAAACCCCGTCGCCGTGCCCAAGAACGCTAGCCGTGACGCCGGTGCCTCCCCTGATGGTAAGGCTTCCAAGGGTGACACACGCGATCGCCGCATGTCGGAGACGCAGCTCACTGGCACCGGAGGCACTGCTGTGATGCCCTTTTTGAAGCAGATCCGGGACGAGACCCTTCGCGCTGGCCGACCGGATTCGGTCCAGCTCACATAGGCACGTGCCCGCTACATTCTTGCCTACCTTTTATTCTTTAATCACTGTTGTCTTGGGCCGATGCTTTTTTATTCCCCTCTTCTTCAGTTTGTTTTCCTTTACCCATTTTTCCACTTCATTGTTAGTATCAGCATAGCGTTTGGGAACCACAATCCGTGGAGAAGCTGCAGGAAACAGCGGCATACTTAGGAGTTCCGCATTATATAGAATTGCATCCGTGGAGGCTGTCTTCACAGACACAAACTCAGGGTTCTGTATCATAAAATTAGATTGGATTTGTCTCAACTTTCATGCTTCCAGGCACGTTCACTTACTAACGCTACCTAGCTTGAAGAAGCTGTGTGAGCAATCATCTCGCTTACTGGATTCTCTCCTAGTTTGACAAAGGGAGTCATCTTAATTCCTTTTGAGGGGCCTTCTAGCCCACGAGCATGCCAAGGTACCATGTCAATCGCAGTTGCTTATCCGCTAGAAATTACCCAACTCTTGGAAGGTAGCGTGCCAGCTTCGGTACCAAAGTTATCATTCCACCCCTCCTTTCATGTTACCTTCCCTTTGCGACCTCCGACTGCAGTTATGGCAGATCAGCAGGCGTTGGTGCGGGGAAATTCTGCACACTATCGTCCAACTTACAGCCAAGTGGGGGTTGCCCTGCCGTATTGATCATCATATGGTGCGCTGAGCGCGGGATCAACCCGATTGTGTCCCGTCGGGTCGGGACTTTCCTATCTGGAAACGTTGCATTGGAGGCAACACGCTGGCTTCTCGACACGCTCAAAATGCGCGACCCGGCCGGGCGAAATCCAGGTCGTCGTCTCGGTAGTAGTCAAGGCTTCCATCATGGACTCAGAAAATGTTCAGGCTGCCCCGAAGCAGCCCCCGGTAACTTACCAGGAGAAGCCGGGCGGGCGCAGCGACGGCGATGTCGACAAGTCACTCGAGAAAGTTGACGGCATCACCACGGCGCTGCCGGCCGACGAGCCAGCCGCGGTGGCCGGGGCCAGCAAGGAGGTGGCCGCCACTTCCCCGTACGAGGAGGTGCGGGCCGCCGTGCGCGAGATCGACGGCGAGGAGCCCAGCAACACGCTGCGCGCCTGGGTCATCGGGCTCGTCTTTGTCACCGTCGTGTCGGGTGTCAACATGTTCCTGTCCATGCGCAGCCCCGCCATCACCATCCCGGCCGTCGTCGTCATCCTCGTCGCCTACCCCGTCGGGATGTTGTGGGCAAAGGTCATGCCGGCCCGCACCTTCAGCACCTTTGGCCTCGAGTGGAGCCTGAACCCGGGCCCGTTCAGCATCAAGGAGCATGCCGTCATCACGCTCATGGCCAAGATCACGGCCGACTACCCCTACTCGACCAACGCGCTCGAGGCCCTGCAGGCGCCCGCGCTGTACAACCACAGCCTGGGCTGGGGCTTCGCCCTCATCTTCACCCTCAGCAGCCAGCTGATCGGCATCTCCATGTCGGGCATGTTCCGCCGCTTCCTCGTCTGGCCCTCGGCCATGGTGTGGCCCGGCCAGTTCGCCACCACGTCGCTGCTGTACACGATGCACGACAAGCGCAAGGCGGACGAGATTGCCGAGGAGGACCGCGCCATCGCCGGCACCAGCACTTGGAGGGTCTCTCCCTATTCCTGGTTCTGCTACGTTGCGGCTGCCAGCTTCGGATACTATTGGTTCCCCGGCGTGCTCTGGCAGGGCCTGTCCGTGTTCGCCTTCGTGACGTGGATCAAGCCCGACGACGTCGTTGTCAACCAGCTCTTTGGCGGCTTTACGGGACTGTCGCTGCTCCCCATCACGTTCGACTGGACGTATGTCGCGGCGTATCTTCAGAATCCCCTTCTTTCCCCATGGACGTCTCACCTCAACACTTTGATCGGGCTGGGCATCTTCGTTATCATCCCGACCATTGGAATCTCGTACACCGGGGCACTGTATTCCGATTACCTCCCCATAAACACGTCCCGGACTTTCGACAACACTGGGCACCGCTACAACGTGCTCAAGATCCTGAAGCCCGACTTTACGATCGACGAAGACGCCTACCGCAAATACTCTCCTTTGTTTCTCGCGCCCACTTTCATGATCAACTACGGGTTAAGCTTTGCCACGCTGATGGCCTCGCTGGTTCACACGGCCCTCAACCATAGCGGCGATATCTGGTACCGCTTTAAGGCGGCGCGCAACCAGGAAGCCGACGTCCACACGGCCATGATCCGCAAGTACAAGGAAGCCCCTGACTGGTGGTACGGCCTCGTATGGATTGGCGCCATGGCCTTTGGGCTGGCTACGGTTTTGGCGTTTCCCACCCAGCTGCCCTGGTGGGGATTTCTCGTCTCATGCCTCATCGCCTTTATCTTTATCATCCCGCTGAGCATGATATATGGCATGACCAACATCCTCATCTCGCTCAACGTGCTGTCGCCGTTCCTCGGCGGCTTCATCTTTCCCGGCCGCCCCATCGCCAACATGCTGTTCAAGGTGTACAGCACCATCGTGCTCGGCCAGGCCCAGGTGTTCAGCGGGGACCTCAAGTTTGCGCTCTACATGAAGGTCCCTCCACGCACGACGTTTTTCAGCCAGATCGTGGCGGTTATCTGGTCCTGTTTCGTGCAGATCTCGGTTATGGTATGTATAACTATTACGAAAAGGCTGCGGCTGGCTCTCACTCTCCCCATTCCGAGGCTTGCGGCTGACCCCACACACAACTCGGTGGTACCAGAACTGGGCATTCGGAAACATCCCAGATATCTGCACGGCCAACCAGCCGAGCAATTTCACCTGCCCCAACGGCAGCACCTTCTTTTCCTCCAGCATAGTCTGGGGTGTCATCGGCCCGCAAAAGTTCCTCGGCGTCGGCACCATGTACGAGAAGATCCATTACTTCTGGCTCCTGGGCGCCCTCCTCCCCGTCGTCTTTTATCTGGTGAGGCGCAGGTTCCCCAACTCCGTGGTGCGTCATCTCCACGCCCCCGTCATGCTGGGCGCCATGGGCTGGCTCCCGCCCGCGACCCCTTTGAACTTCAGCTCGTGGGCAATTATCGGATTAATCTTCAACTGGGGGATACGGAGGCGCTGGGCCGCCTGGTGGCAAAAGTTCAACTACATCACCGCCGCCGGCCTGGATGTCGGGCTTGTTATCTGCACCCTGGTCATCTTTTTCGCCTTTACGCTTCCCGGATCGCCCGTCCCGTCCTGGTGGGGGAATGTCGACGTTCTTAAAACGGCAGACGCAATGGGCACGGCTATCCGAAAGACGGTGCCCAAGGGAGAGATCTTTGGGCCTACGACTTGGTAGAGGGTTACGAGCCCAGCCTCTGGGTTTGGCGGGCGCCTGGGAGCATTGCCGAAACACAGCTACATACGTCAATCCGGTAGTTTGCCTGCGGGAAGCGGGCCAAGAACTGGAGCAGCGTCGTAAAGCTGTGCGGCGTGTCGGTTGTACGACGTGGATAGGGCGCCGTGCGAGCCCGCCATGGTTCCCCGATGACATTGCCCACTAAGACGTTGGCGTTACTTGGCTGAAGATAGATACATTTAGGCGATTCATGTGCTAGCCATATTATTTATTCTATTTAGTTATACGCTGTTATGTCTATAGAAGAGACCTCAGTGCAGCTACATGGTATATGCGTGGGGAAAAACCCTTGGGTTGTGCCTGGGGGGGAAAACCCTGCGCCTGCGAGCCATATTATTTAAAATGCATATTTTCAAAGCTTATCCGACCGTGAACTATTTAAACGTAAGAAAGGAAGGTGAAATGGTAGGGCGGAAGAGGAAGGAGGAGAGAAGAAGAGGGGATTGCGGAGTACTGACTGTAGTGGCATACAGAGGTTCCATCTTCCTAATCCAACTCCGAAAAATCTCTGCCCATTTCCCTACTCTCGCCGCTGTCGCTCCCGTCGACGGCCTTCGACGTCGCGTATCACGATGGACCGGTGCGATTTGTCACGGGGTTTCCGGGCCGAATCACCGCTGTTGGCCTCTGCTTGTGCAGAGTCGTTTGACTCAGCCGCCTCGTCAACTTTACCATCCGCATCGGCGTCAACCTAGGTCGCTGCATACACATCAGCCTTTGCCTTGACCTCATCGGCGCGGGCTTTGCTCCCAGCCGGGAAAGACGCGGACTTCTTAGCCGTCGCATCCGTTTTGACTTCCGCCTTGACCTCCTTCTGAGCCGTGACTTCCGCGTTCTGTTGCCGGAGTTCGCCTTCGTATGTGGCTGACTGCTCTTGCTCAACCACCGCGTCCATGTCCGAAAGATGGTAAAGTATATGGCCGTTCGGGTACAAGTGAAAGATGTTGTCATAGAGGAGGTTATAAGCCGTCTGGCGTGCCGATCATTCTACACCATGGTCGCTAACGGTAGTACGATGTGCTTCTGGATCCAACCCAACGCATCGTGTAGCGCGTCATCTCCCGCGTGGCCTTGCTGAGATCCAGCTCAGCCAAGGATCGCCGCTTGCCATCTAACACTTTACCGCTGAAAGTAGATAAAAGCACGTCCCAGAGTATAGATGGAGTCGAGGGTGGCGTCGTAGGTATGAGCGGCAGCCTCGTCTTCGGGTTGACCCTGCAGCAGCAGGGAGGCTGCCAGGGCGGATTAGAATGCTCCGATGCGCTTCGAGCGGCCGGAGTAGAAATCATACACCAACGGCGGTGGCTCTGCTGTGGCGGGTCCAGAGCGCCGCCCAACGAGGGAAAAAAAGCTTGATTGTAGGTTGTTGCTGGGGTAAAACAGAAAGGAGGAAGCGCTCGTACACGGGCTAACCCCCTTTGCACGTACCTGCCGGAACGAGACAGGCGGCAGGTGGGTTGTACTTTCCGCGGGATAAGACTCAGGAATTGAGCAGAGGTGAAGGCATTCTGGCGTGGAGGTAATGCCATTTTGACGGGGCAAGCGCATGCAAAACTTCCCAAGTGACAAAAGCCTCCAGCCATATCCGACCAGAGCTGGACACAGAACAAATCCAAAGAACTTTGGAACCACGGTTGCAAAAAAATTTGCGAGTATATAAAGGACCCTCCTCACACCTCCCCGCCGCCCTCAAGCCTAAACAGCTACACAAACTCTTCTTTCCGTCTTAGGCTTCGTCTGCCGCGCTCACGAGACGAGGTTCGACCCGACAGCAGCCCGGACAACATGACCACCCCATCATAGACCCTGACCCTCGTAGGCGGTGGTTGGGACGATAGAGATTGCGCTCAAGGGAGCAAAACGAGCGCCCTAGAAGTTGCGCCCGAGGAACGGGCAAGAGTCAACAAAGAGGACAGCCCTACGGGCCACTTGCGGCTTGAGGTTCGAACCACACTGAGCTGTAGGACGAAGTCGACCGGGAGCGTTCGGTATGATGCTTGTTAAAATGCGCCTCTAGTTCATGCACGAGGTCATGGCCCACATCCGCCCAGAGCATCCCAAGTCCATGACGCTCCGGGTTCTACTCGCCATAACAATCATCTCCGCTCAGTGAGTAGTCAGCTCAGCCAAGGTGGGCGAACACCTCGGACAAGGTGGGAAAAAGTGGACCCAAAATCTCAGCCAAGGTGGCAGGGGCAGTAAAAATGCATATGCATTTTTAAAATAAATTAATAAATAACGTTTAACGTAAATTTTATATATATTAATATTATAAATATAAAATATAATATATATATGTAAATATAAATACAAAAAATGATATAATGCTAAAAACCGCTTTTGCCTCCCCGACCTCGCAACGGGAGAACGCCATCAAATACAGCAAATTTAACATTAGATTCAAACTCCTCGCCTCCGGTTCGCCACCGGACGTATGTCCGCGCGCGAGCGCGCCTCCGGCACGGCTGCTGGCAGCGCCAGCAGCCCCAAAGGCGGCGGAGCGGTTACCGACCGCCCCGAAGCCAGCAACAACACCACCATAACCAACGCCCCCAACCCTTTCCTAACGCGCACCCGCATTGCAAATTTAAAAAACCAATTAATCGAAACATTAAAGCCTTTCGTGCCCCCCGGCAGCACCGAATTAATGCTTAAAATTGTAAAAGAATGGACCAAAACCGTAACAAACGCGCTCGAAACGCGGTCCCGCAACTATCGCAACCATATGCCCAACCACTTTCGCATTATAAAAAATAAAATTATTGTTAAAATACGCAACGCCCGCAAACAAACCACTAATTACGCTTTAATTTTAGCAACCGGTTTGTTGCAAAGCAATTAAACCGGTAACTACCCGTTTACAATCCGTTTTTACGCATTTTTTAATACCGGCCCCCCCCCCCCCCCGAAATATATTTCCGCGCGCACCAAACGCAAAATTACCATTTTAACCGAAAACGTTTTTTTTAAAATTGCAAACCGCATACCCGTTAAAATTACCATTACATTAATTAAAAAGTTCGGCAATAACGTAAAAGCAATGCGCAAATTTTTTAATAGTAACGTAATAATTTTATTCCATACAATTGCTACCAAACATACGAAAAATACCGCGTAAATTATTAAAGTATTCGGCAACAAAACAATATACCAAACCCAAATTTATAACGTTATAATTAAAAGCATTTAATAAAACGCAACCAACGATAACAACATTTTGCTATACAAATTTAAAACGCACAATATCGGGGCCGAAATTAATTTTATTTATATATAAAACGCTTAACAATTGGAAAAATACGCTACGGTATTGGCTAAAATTATATTCCCCGCCGTAACTTAAATCGTATGCAATAACGGCTTCGTATTTAAAAGCGAAATCCTTAACGTTAAACCGTTTGCAACGGGAACGAAAACCGTTTAATGCTATAAATGCTACGGGTAAAAATATAAATTAAAATTTTGCAAAAAAACGGCCCGTTGCCCGCATTGCGCCAAACCGTTACATAGCAATGGCAAAGCCGGGGAACTTTTGTGCCCGTCGTACGGGGGTTAATTTATTACAAAAAAAAGCAAACCGAAATGTTACAATTACGGAAACAACCACCCGGCCTTTTAATAAACGTACCCCGTAGCGAAAAAAAAAATTAAAAAGGCCAAAAACACATTTTTAAACCGGCCGAAATAATTTGCTTTGGAAACGGGGAACGAGCGCGCACTTTAACCGAACCAAATAAACCATTTTGCCGTTTATACCCTCCCGCTTTTTGCATTTATCCGCCCTTTACCCGGCCCTTTTTAACCGTTACAGGAAAAAAACGATTTGTTTAATTTAAAATTATTAATAAAACGCAAACGGAACGGCTTTTTATTAAAAATAACGAAAGTAAAGGAAAATTCCCTAACCAAAAAACAAATAAGCAAACCACGAAAATCCCGCAACAAAAAAACGTTAAACTTTTCCAAATCCGCTTTTAGGATAAACCAATACTTTATAAACCCAAACCTTGCCTTTTTCGGTTTTAATAAAATAGCGGAAATAAAAAGAACAAACAAATGCCGGGCCGTTAACGACCTAACGGCACCTAGCAATACCGCGGTTACTAACTTTAACCTTGCCAATGCACCAAACCATAAAGCCCTTTTTTCCTTCCCCAATTTACCTTTACCCTAACCGCTTGCATCCCAGCCAACCCAGTTCGGCCTTATACCGGTACCGTTTAACTTTTTTGCAACCGGAATTACGTTTACTTTTAACCAATTAATTAACGATAATAGCAACGTATAAAATTAAATATATTATATTGGAATATAAAAAAAAGCAAAGGAAAAAGCAATTTCCTTTTTTACAGCAACAAACAATATAACATTTTAACTATCCAAAAGCCGGAACGCAACCAGCACGAAAACCTTTTAAAACCGTACGGCTGCAATTACAAGCTTATTTATTACCAAAAATTTAATTCCAACGTAGCATTTTACGTATATAACCGTTTCGCCCCCAAATTGTAAACCGCCCGGTGCGGTTATAATTGGGCTTTAATTACAATTATTACGCCGAAAAGCCCATTAAAAATATATTTAATATATTTCCCAAATTTTAAAGCAAGCCCTAACTAAATAACGCTTTTTATTATAATCGTTACCCACCCAACCCAAAAGCATACAATTTTTACAAGCAATTTTAACCTTTACCATCCAATTTGGAATTTACACAATAAATACAATGCAAAAAGCAAAACCTTTTTGGAATTAGCACGTTGCAAACGATTCGAATTAGCAACGCTTTACGGAAAAATTACGAAAAAAAACGAAAAAAAAAAATAGTACAATTAATTACGCTTGGGTAACGCAACAATTCGAAATGGAATACTTAAAATAAAACAATATAATAAAAAGGTCCAACCATTTGTCCCAAATATTCCGCGTTTTTTTCGAACCGTAATAGCTTTAATTCCAATAAATTAAAAATTGGAAATGGAAAAACGTTAAATTAACAAAAAAACTGGCAAAAGCTAAAGCCAAAATGGCTAGCAAATTAATAACGACCGGAAACATGCACAACGCCAAAGCTATAAATAAGAAAACCAACAAACTAATGCAACAATTAATTTAATTTGCTAACCAATTAGCCCTTTAACGAAAACCAAGCCCTTTTAACAAACGCGCCTTTTACTAAATACAAAAATTTAACAATTTTTGCAAAAAAGCGAACCGTTTGCAACGCGCTTTTATTAAAAACAAAACGCAAACAGCATAAAAAGCGCATAAAGCCGCGGACAAAGCATTCGTTAAAAAAAAACGCTAAACGATATCCAACCATTAAAAAAGCGTCGTTTCCGCAACGGGACAAAATATTAAAAAAAACGGCGCATTTTGAAAATTTAAAAAATAAGCCCGCTTAAAAAACTTTTAAAAAAAAACCCAAATCGGTTACCAAATTTAATTAAAACCGGAAAAAACCCGGATACGCTTTGCAATTACCAAAAAAAACCAAAATTTTATTATCCAAATTTTTCCCAAACCCGCTAATTAATATTTTTAACATTAGCAAAACCAAATTCCCAAACCACTTTTTCCTAAACCCTTTTTAAATGCCCGTTTTCGTTACCCCGCAAAACATTATGGAAGCAACGGGCCGCATTAAACCGTAAAAAGCCACGGGCTAAAACCATTTCCCGAACGGGCTATTTAAAGCCGCCGAATTGCCGGGCGCAACCGTTATCGCAAAATTTGCTAACGCAATAATTGCTACAAGCTATTTTTTAAAGCGCTTTAAAAAGGCCTTTACGGTAATACTACCCAAACCAAGCAAAACCATTGTAAAAAAAAACAAACCGGGGGATAAAAGCCTATCGCTTTGTTATTATTAATTTTAAAAGCTATCGAATTAATTATAACGAAACAAATTGCTAACAAAGCAAAAAAAAAAGCATTTTTTTTAACGGCCAAATGGGCAACCAACGGGTTAAAAGCACGGAGTTAGCAATCCAAAAAGTAATGGAAGCGATAATCGCAGCATAAAACCACGGCGTTACCGCATCGCTATTACAATTTAACCTATTCGGAGCATTTAACATTATTAACCACTTTTAATTGCTAAATACGCTAAAAAAATATAATTTCCTTTTACCAATCGTAAAATAAGTAAAAAGGTAGCTAGCAAATAAAACGGCCATTTTGCAATTTAACGGCAACATTTCGAACCCAATTTTAATCCGAACCGGAATTCCCCAAAACTTTCCCTTATTTTTTATACTTTTTATTATATATATTGCATTATTATATAAAAATTTTAAAAATATCCCAAGGATTTTCGTTACCGGTTTTGCCGATAATACCAACCCATTAGCAATAAAAAATACCGCAAAAAATACGGCCCGGTTTTTAAAAGCAGCTTGGCCGAAATGCAAAGCATAAGCAATTAAATACGGCATAAAATTTAATAGCACCAAAACCAAATTAATCCATTTTAACAAAAACGAAAATTCGCCCGTAATCCAATTCGGCAATATAACGGTAACTTCCAACCAAACGGCTAAATTTTTTGGGGTTTGGCTAAACGCCCGCTTTAATTTTAAAAAACACACCAAAAAAGCAAAAAGCAAGCAAAAAAAGCAATAGCTAGCATTTACTTAATTTATTTCGTTAACGTAAAGCAATACGTTCGCAAAAAAAAGCTTTTTTATAACGTAATGTACCGCACGGCTTTGGTATACGGCGCAATAACTTTTTACATAGCCATACCGGCAACGGGCCGCTTTAAAAGCGCCGTTAAATAGCTTTAAAAAAAACAACGCGCGTATTTAAAAACCATTGCCGGGGTTTACAAAGCTACTTTACTAACTAATTTCGAAATTAAATGCTTTACCCCTTTAATTAATTTGTATTTAAACGAAAAAGTATTAAAAGCAAAAAGAAAATGGGAAAAATTTGGAATAAAAAACGTAATTCGGACCGGTACCAATAAGGTGCAGCAATATTTCCAATAGCTAAAATATCGTAAAAAAATAAAAGTACCATATTTATTTAGCTTGGCAAGCAAAAACCGGTGGGCGCAAAAATGGAACCCGTTAAAACCTTTTAAACTTAAGCCCGGCCCCGCCCCGGCAATTACTTAAAAAGCAATTAAAATAAAAGCCAATGCCAAAGCACAAAAACTAACAAACCAAAAGCAAAAAAAAAAAAGAAAGGAATGGTTCGAAATTAAATGGAACGCTAAATGCAAAAAAACCCGCGCTATAGCAACGAAAGCAAACCCATTCCGGCCCGCAACCCCCGCAAACAAACCCAATTTTAACGGTTTAATGCTAAAAGCATACCAAAAACTTACCAAAGCTTAAAGCGCGATAATTATCCAATTAAAAACGGAAAAACTGGAATTAAAAGCGTTTTTTTAAAATAAAAACGTTTTTAACGTGCATACGCCCCGTTGCCCGTATAAAACCGGGCAACGGGAAATAACATTCCATTTGCTTGCTAAATGCCCTTTTTATGCTAAATGGAAAATAAGCTCGGGCTGGGAAAATACAAGCCACCGCAAAGCATATTTTAAACGATAGCAACAAAAAATAAGCATTATTACCAAAACCAATACGGACCAAAACGGCCCCCCTTTGCCCCCCCCTTTTTTATTAACAGCACGTTTAGCAATTAAAACAAATAAATTTAACGATTTTAAAATGGTAAAAAAAACGATTAATTAAAAACGCAAATATTAAAAAAACGAACCGCCCTAAATAAATAACCCAACGCTAAATTAACAACCGGATATAATTATTTTAATTACTAACCCAACATAAAAAAGCTACAATTATACGCCCAACCATACCCAGCAATATCCAGCAGCAAGCTTGGAAACGAATTGCTGCTTTACATGTTTTAGCGCGTACGGATCCTTTTCCGCGCCATTTTTAGCACCCGGTCGAAAAACGCCAAATTATTTTTATTATTACCTTATTTTACAACCGCTATATTTAATTGCTTATATAAATTAAAAAATGCAAAAGCAATAAAAACAATATTACCATTAAAAAAAAACCGGCATTTATTAATTGTTAAGCTTGCGCAAAAGCAAGCTTTTTAACTTTTAAATCGTTAGTAACTTCCGCAGCATCGTTAATACGCGATAAAGCGTTAAAAGCTTTCGAAGCGTAAAAAGCAAAGGCTTAAAGCATTAATACCATATTGCCGGAAAAGGACCGTACGAGCTCCGAACCAGCAATACCGGCACTTATAAAAACCCCGGCGCCAAAAAAAAAAAGCATCCAAAAACGGTTAAAAGCAAAACCAGCACCGGTAAGCACCCCGAATTTGTTAAGCCCGTTTTTATTAATACGCCGAAACGTATAAACCTTAGCAACCAATGCGTTGTAAACCGCTTAGCACCGCACCATACCGTTAACGAACCGATAAAGCATAAAAAGCCGATAAAATTAAAACAATTTACCAAATATTTGCGGCAATTATTTAACCCGAAATTGCGCATATTTTTAACTTTAAAAAGCAATTGGTAATATTTGGCAAAAAGCACGGCCGTAATACGAATTTTTTTAATAATAGCGGGGTAAAGCTAAAAAAAAATACGTTAATAACCCGGCCAAATAACGGAAAGGAAAAAGGAAAAAATAACTTACCGTATTATACCGGATATTCCAATTAGCACAAAAACGATAAAACAATGCGTCCGTATTTGGAAAAACCAGCAAATTAATAAATAAAAAAATTACCCAAAACCATAAAAAAAACGAACTAATTTTAAAATAACAAATTGCAACTTTGCCAAACCGCTTTTTCCCGCTTTGCTTTTTACCCAAACCATTAAACAAATAACCAAAGCAATTTACGCAAATGTTACGCGCAAAATTAAATAATTAGCCAAAGCACAAACGGGAAAAAAACGAAAAAAGCATTTACGTTATTTAATAATAAAGCAAAATACTTTTAAAAATTTCCGTTAAAACGTTTATTGCTTTGCGGGTTATAAATTTGTATCGTTAAACGAAAAAATTAAATTAAAATAAAAAAACGAAAACGATTTGGCGGCAAAGGAATAAAAAAAAATAAATTATATAATTAGCGTTAACCCGCGCGTTGCCGCCGTTATCGTTGCTAGCGTTAAAAAAGCCGTTGCTATTATTAAATACTTTTACCGGGGAAGCACAGGAAACGGGCCGGGCAAAAAAAACGTTAAAAGCAACGGGATCGGAAAAAGGAAAAGCAATAGCTACCGCTTAACCATTATTACGAACGCCGCCACCGCCGCGGCCATCGCGTTTAGCAAAACTGGCTTTAGCCGTACTTTTTTTTAAAAAAGCCGCTAATTGGCATTGCAACCGATTAAAATTAAAAGTAAAATTAAAAATGGCCGGAAGCGAAAAAAAAAAGTGCAACCAAACGCCGGAAATAAAAAGCGCGTTAAAAAAATTAAAGCAATAAAAATTAACCAAAAACAATGCAATAAAAAGGTAACGGTTAAAAAAAAAAGCATTATACCAAAAAAAAAAAAGCTAAAAAAAAAAGGTAAAAAAGGAAGGAAAAAAAAAGGAAAAAAAAAAGGAAAAAGGAAAAAAATAAGCAAAGCAAAAGGAAAGCACCGGCAAAAAAGCAACCTTCCCGAACCCGCCCGGAATTACCACGCCGGCAAAAGAAAGCACAATTACTTTTTAAACATAATTACTTACCCTTAACAAAGCTATAAACACCCGGATAGCAAATACAAAAAACACCGTTACCTTAACGAAAGCAACCAAATACCGGGCTAACAAAAATACGCACAAAAACGTTAATAAAAATAACCGCTAATACCCAATTACATAAAAAAAATAACAACAAAGGACAAATTATACCATACCGGATACAAACCGC